ACACAATATAAACACACTGTCTTGGACCGATACATGACAGGATACCACAGAACAGCGCTACGCCCTCTGTTGTCCTGCCGGGCAATTGCTTTGCAACACTCTCCAGGAGACGGAGAAGTAAAAGAGCAAAACGCTTCCGTCAGTCCGTGCGTGTCTGTCCCTTGCGGAGCTGACGGAGAAGCATAAACCAGGCTTAAGAAGGCATTCGTTCCTTCTAAAGAGCCCTGCGGATGTATTAAAAGTATGACTATAGTTGATCTTTAAATAAACTTTCATATAAAAAACTGATTGTGAGTGTGAAGGTGAGAAGAAACAGAAAGAACTTCAGTAGTGAGATGAGAGACACGGTAAAAGGAGACAAACATTTTTATGTTTATGTATATTTTTTAAAGTTACACCCTGCAAAAAGTCAACGTGAACTAGAGAAAAAACAGCTAACATGGCAGCCCCCAGCACTTTGTCCAGGCCCTGATTTACAATCATCAGATGAAATCGTCAGATTTCCAGAGATGTGCCATCAGCTTTTCCATCAGAGCTCGATGATCTTAGACGGAGAGGAAACAGTGGCGGATGCCTGCGCGACTTCGTGACGAGGAACAGTGAAATTCTCTCCCCTTTTGGCCTGATACATGAAAGATTTATAAAGGGGAAGGCTGGAGCCGAGGATTCTTGAATATAATTTCCATGTTATTAAACAGTGGGTGGAAAAATCTTAACCTTCACATTCTTCGGTTCTAATTTTAACCTCAGAACTGAAAAAGGAAGTTTATTCAGTCTTATTTAGTCTTTAGACATTAGTGGGATTAGAGACGTTTGTTAAACTCTTAATCATAAAAACACGGGCTTCATCTTCTGCACATCAGAGCTTTTTTAATATCTTAAAAGTTAAGCCAGTATCTCACTGGAATGTGACAAAACTGCAGGAAAAACTAATGGAATTAACTTCTTTTATACTTTTGCAGGTCAAAATTTGCAAGTTAATGGTGAGATTTGGACAAAGTGATCTGTCAGAAACTTTGATTCTCTGTCACCAGTCCATGCGAAAGTTGTCTCACACTTTCTGACCCGATGAAAATCACTGAGGACTTACAGAAACGTTTTCTCACAAATGTTAAAAAGTGTAAAGTTCCAGCCAAGGCAAGACGAGAGGAAGGCCCTAAAATCCCTGCAGTCGGTCACCAGCAGCCCCAGCCCAGCGAGACTAACACTCCAGCTGGAAAACCTCAGAGTGACGGAGCAGGCTGCCAATTCAGCTAATGCTAGAAATGACCCTTCCTAATAACTTACCTGTAAACAAAGGTGTACAGGAGGAGAACCAGGATCAAGATGTTAAGGCTGCTTCCATTGGTTCTTACAAGTCACCATGGTAACAAGACATCTATGCCTCCCACAATGCTGAAGCTGTAAGCTGCTGACGACCCGATGGCTACATAAGAGAGTTTTTATGTTTTTCGACAGGCTTTTTAGGATTAAAATACCCGTAACCTCCAGTTTCTATGAGAGCATTTAAGCTGAAAATGGTGCAAGTATATGGACAATAGGGTGTGCTCTTTCTGCATTCAGATGTGATCTGAGAGAGCGCCATCATCTGACAGCAGAAACAGACATTGTTTTGCTAGATTACCTAAAAAATACGGCCATTGCTAAAATTGAACCTCTTCATCAACCAGTTTAAAGAATCGTAAATCATAGTTTAAATTGGGGTTTGAAGGAGCCAGATCATGTTAATTAAACTTTAGAGAGCAAATGTAGACCCAATATCTATTGACACTATTGAGATATTGTTTTATCACAGACCTGAGTTACTTTTGTCAGCCTGTCTTTGCACCCAGAAATGAAACGGTCTGTTTCAGGCAACCCCACCTCCAGCGGCCTGAGCTCCACCCATCATGGGCCACCACAAAGCAACGAATGTATTCTAGTGGTTAAAGCATCTTGTGTTGCCATGTCCTGACACTGGCTCGACTCCCGGTGCCGGCAGTCATTTATTAGCCAGCTGAAGCAGATTTAATTTCATTGGGTCTCTAAAGATGTTTGAATCTAGTCATTTCCAAGCAGCATTTGAGCTGCAATGCAATGCAACAGAAGTCCCAATGATCTACTCTGCTCACTTCACATGGACTCACATGGGCTTCAGCTGGCTAAATAATGAAAGTTAAAAAACAGATCAGTCCTTATTTTAAACCATACCAATATTTATTTTCCAATAAAGGTAAACACGATACTGGCAAGTGTAGCTAAAAAGGAGGGGAAAAGAATATTGCTGAGACTGGGAATTGAACCGATGTAAGGTCATAGCAAAACAGCACACAAGGCAGGTTTTCTATCCACTAACCCACCAAAACCTTAACAAAGGTTTAGTTGCCTAACACACATGTCCTGTGCTGGCCATTATGTGCGTCTTTGTGGACAGCACACAAGATTTTTATGGTGGTGTTTTGTCCCCAATGTAGAAGTAATTTGTCAGAATATCCACTCTGGTACCGGTGGAGGTTTAAAACAGTCATCTGTGACATGAAGACCGCTTTCATGTCTGCAGAATGAAATCAACCGCTCTATGCCCACAACTCAGAGAGAGTGGACATTAGTGGCCTACTTCCAGGGGGAGGTGAGTTTCAGATCCGAGACTAGGTTCAGGGGGAGGAGCAGGGCCCGATGACACACTTAGCTTCCATCCTCGTGTCTGCAGAACTTGCAGCTGAGACAGTAAAATGCATGAATGCAGCCAAGAACAGGTTTAAAGGTTGGTTTATGCTTGACGCGTCCACAAGGTCCGCACGGCCCCGCGCGGAAAAGTTGCGTCATTTTAACAACCAGGCCACTCCACCGCGTCTCCGCATGGCCCAAAATTTCCACAACGTGCACCTAGAAAATTTTCTAACCACGCGGCGGTCAGACGCGGAAAAACATGGCGGACCGACAAGAACTAGTAAGGCAGAGGTTCGTAAATACAGACATTTGTATGATTCAGCTCTCAGAGATCACCGTGATCAACATGTTGATAATAATTCTTGGAGAGAAATAGCTCGCACTGTCGGAAAAGACGAGGACGCTGTTAAAAATGCTGGAATGCCATGTTGTAAACAGTAACTTCTACTTCTACTATGGTGTAGTGTTGGACGCATGCCGTGTAGAGCTCCATGCTGCCCCCTACAGTTTGGGAGAATATTGGCTCACCGCAGAGACAAGCCGCATGAACCATAAACGCCGCAAGTTGTGAAGTGCGTTCCATCCGCGAGCCGCATCAACAAGCGGAAAGTGAATGCGTCAAGCATAAACCAAGCTTAAGGGTGTTTTTCATTAAGAAAAACTAACATCTAATAGTAAAAAGCTCCAAAAAGAGGATTTTCCATGATGTGGCCCCTTTAAAGTTCCAGTGCAACATGCTCAGATTTAAACTTGGTTTAGTGTAAAAAAAAACCAAACAAACCAATCTTAAAAGAGAGGTTTAGATTTAATCCATCTTCATTTTACACTAGGTTTAACGTTTGGTGCAACAGGATTTAATCTTAAACCATGAACTAATCCAGGTTTAAAGTTAAACTGTGTCTGACCTTAGAGGGTCAGAGGAGATGCTGTTGAGACTCTGAATGGTGTTTCTGCTGTAAGGTGCCTGCAAGTTTAACATCAACCTCTAGAACTCATTTAAATGGAAGGGATCCTTTACGATCTACCCCAGTAAGTAGCTTCCAATAATCAGGATGTTTCCAGGATGCAGGACTTGAAGATTTATTTCCTTCACAAAAACCAGTAAACTAACACAACCCCTATAGACGGTGAGTTTCAGCCAGTCTGAATACTTTTATTTGTCTCAGGTGAAACATTCTCACGAGCCAGAGACAGCAAACTGAATGTGGGAGGTGCTTATCTATCCATGCACTGCCGAACACAATGTCCGCGAGGACGCTGGCAGGACCAGAGATGCTAGCGGGGTGAAGAAAATGTGGCAGCCTGAACAATGTTGCAAAGACATAAAACCTCACTGAATGTAAATGGGAGAAAAACCCTGCAGGATAGCTCCATGCAAAAGATCGTCTGTCACTGCCAAGTTTGCATAGTCTCAGGAGGCTTCAGTGCTTCTGAGCACAAACACGGTGGTCAGGTAGGGAAACGGGAACTGCCTGTTCGAGTGGAAGGATCAGCATATAGAGAGTGGGCTGTCAGAGGCATGGGGAGGCAATTCTTCAGGATGAATTCATGGAACAGGTCCAGATGCTGCCAATGGAGAGAATGACCAGCTTTAGTTAACAACAAGCATGCATGTCGTTAACTAGTGCTCCTCAGCCGCGATTCCTGACAGTGAGCCTGCACGGAGAGCCAAGAACACCAGAGAGAAGCTTGGCAGTGACGAGATGAAGCTGCTGGCATCCACCCATCACAGCCCACGGGCACACAAACACACGACTGGAAAAGTTTCATCCAACCAACGTTTGTAGAAGCTGTGGGCTGCAGACACACACATCTGAACTTTTGCCAATAACGTACACACATGCACACATGTACTAATGAGGAATTCATTTGCTAACAGTGCCAAGATCAGAAACACTCCCTCACTGCACCCTGCCTGCCTCTCTGTTCTCACTGTTTCCAAGGAGACTGCAGCACATTGGTATTCTGAGGGGACACTTCATGAGCAATTGTGGGTGAAAGAAAGTAAGATAGTGCAAGGGGGAGAAAGAGGGCATGGAGATAGAAATGGTGCAGAAAGGAAAGATAAAGACAATGTCTAATTTTCCAAAGAAGCACAAAGCAGCATGCAAGGGCGTTCATGTAGATACACATTTACTGAGATGATGATTTTATTCAGCACAGCCGTTCCTATCCATGTTAACCAGATAATAATGCCATGTGTGCTCCTCTCATCCGAGTGTGTCGTTGGCTGGGTATGACTGTGGAGGCTTGTTCCGCGTGTCACACAGTGTGGTGTTGATCTGGCATGAAACCCTGTGATGTTTACAGTTGTGAGTCATGCAGATGCAAGACAAGAAAAGCTTCCTTACCCATAAACTCTATGCCCAGGTGATCTGTGGTTTCGGCAGCAAGGAGAGAGAAAAGAGAGGAAGAACACAGCCATTATTAGGTATAAAACTCAATATGTGGAACTGGACTCTGCTGTCACAGGAGACAGATGTTAGTGATGCTACAAGAAATGATACATGCAAGCACAGCCTAGACTTAGTTTCACACCTCCTGTCCTTCTTTACGGTCCACTCCACAATAAGAGCATCAGAGTTGATTCTTGTAAAGAAAAACTCATTTTTATTCATTAATTCAGTAACTCGTTAGCTTAACCACTCATTCCTCAGTAGGATCTGCTGAAGCTGCTGTCAGGTCCAGCAGTCATAAGGCAGGAGGTGAGGGACATCCTGGACATGTCTCTGGCCCATCAAAGAGACATAATCACACCTTAGGACAAATTAGTCTCCAATCATCCTAACACACTTGTTTTTGGTCTGTGGGAGGAAATCGGATTATTCGGAGAAAACACACACATGCACGGTGGAAAAAAGCCAAACTCCACGCTGAAAGGCCACAGCTGGGATTCAAACCCACGACGGTGGTACCAACTGCAACACCGTGCAGCCTCTCGTAGTTCAGATTCATTTGAATATTTCCAGTCGTACCATAAAGGGTTTGACTCTCATGTGCAGTTGTCATCTTCACAGTGAGTTTCTGAGCAGCTGAAGAGCAAAGTTTTAAATCTATTTAGAAGAAATTATAATAGACTAGATCTTAGCTCGGTGGGTTTAATTGACTCGCTACAATAATGGATGTACTGTTCAAGTCTCAAATGGAACAAATTCATTTACTTGATGCTATTCCTGCCTAACGGCCTTTAGAACAACATAACCATGAAGTAAAAACACCTTTTATCAACTTCATTATGAAGATTTGGAGCCTCATTTATCAAAACGTTCTTACGAACATTCCTACATTCCTTCCAACAAATGAAGTTCACGATGTGTGTCAGTGTGTGAGGTGGCCTCTCGTGCGCATGTTCCTCCGCAGTCGTCTGATGATAATTCCCACCTATGCGTACCCACGTGCTTGTGTCTGTTCACCGTCATGTACACACAAAAATGCCCTCAATTAACCATATTTGGTCATGCTACTTCCTGAGCACGTGAGGGAAGTCCCTGTTTTATTTCCAGAAAATAAGAAAAACTTTATTGACAGCGAGATCAAGACACTGGCTGCCGAAGTGCAAAAAAAACCAAACAAGTTGCAGAGGTTATAAACGCGGTCGGGACAGAGGAGAGGTTCCTGTCAGGAATAAATAAAAAAATATTTAGATAAATCGTAGAGTAACGGGTTCTTGTTTACATTCAAGGAGTCATCCTGTTTGGAGGTATTTTCATTTGGAAATGCTGTCCGAGTAATAAATAAGACAGATACGTCACGATATGTCAGATTTTCCGTCGGTCACGTGTGTCTTTTATTGGTTTTAGCACCAATAATGCAAAAAAGCCATTTTTCCACCAACATAACTACAAACTGAGTAAATATACTTGGTGGATGAGGAACACACGTGGATGACTAAGACCTTCAGCACTGCTGTTCCCCTGCTCTACCACTAGATGCTGTTCCTACGCATGGTCAGAGCTGTTCTTATATTTAGGAACATGTTCACACACAAGTACAAACTGGTAAATACCACACAATGCCTAAATTTGTGCTCACACACGAAATACGCACAGATCTGTTTGTAAGTACAGCTGATAAATGAGGCTTCTGGATACCAAACTTAATCTTTGATTTCTGAGTTAAACAGAGTACTTAGACCTGTGTCTTGTTTCTCGTTTTAACTTCAATTTTAATTTCAAAAGCTTTTCTGCATACAAATTTAGTACTTTTTAAAACTATTTCACAGCTTTTATTAGTTTGTTGCTATAACTTATAATAAATTCCCATCTCAGCCTTCGTGGGTGGTCTCATCCTTCCAAGCTCAGGTCCTTTACCAGAGGCCTGGGATATATATGGAACTGATACATACATACATATATACATATATATATATATATATATATATATATATATATATATATATATATATATATATATATATATATATATATATATATATATATAATTTCTTTTCTCTTACAGACTCACTGAGGAGTCCTGCAACACGTACACACACTCTCTGAGTGACATCTGAATGCACATAAGCTGTTGTTGATCATGTGTTTTAAACTTTGGTGCCAACTGATGAAGTCAAACCTGTCTGTTAGCAAAATACGAACCACCGAGATCTTTAGGTTTACATCAAAATGGCTACCTGTCACAGGTACCTGACCAGGTGCAAAACACAAAAATAACTTAAACTCAGTCAGTCTTATAGATGTTAAGCAGAACTTGTTTTATATATGAAAGATGATTTTCTTTCTTTTTTTTGTTGTTGTTTTTGTTTAGAGCTAAGAGTCATTCTCATCACAGCCTCAGAGCTCTCGCTGATCACACAAATCCACAAAAACTTTGGCAACAACGGTTGGAGTCCACCCTGTTGTTAGTTTATCTCAGGAGACCACTGGATAGATTAGAATGAAACTGTTTGTGGGATTTGCATCTACATCTGAACATGTTTAAATTGTCCACCACAACTAACCCACATTAGAAACACCAAACTGGCTCCAAATCAGTCAGGCTCACTGATACTGAACCGATGTTGGAGTGTGTGTTAGTGAAAGTCCAACACACACTACAACATTTTGCATGAGATCACACACATTTTTTCTGTGAGACTTGACCACATAGCTGTAGTTATCATCAGGATGATCACAGTTGAAACCACTCCATGCTACACGGTGGGTGAGAGCTAGTCCTTTATTTAAATATACATTTTCCCTCTTACATATGGCCTGAAACCAAGAGACTCCGGGTAGATATCAAAGCTAGGGCAGAGCTGAAATCATATCTCATGTTCAAAGAGAACCATGAAATAATCATCACCTTCTACTACTGGAGCCCTGTGGAGTGGTACAATTACATCATGGCAACATGGAAAGCAACATGCTTCTGTCAGTATGTGGAAATAAATTAAATCAGTTTGTGCAAACTATTGTTTACTAGTGAGGCTTGGTAGCACTAACTATACCATCTGATGTTGTTTTAGAACCTTGAACTATCCTAACAGTAGCTGAAAATGAGTGGAACAGCATGAAGAAGAATACAACTCTGGTTCTCTCATTTAACTGATACATCTGTAGTGGTCTCTAGTAGAAATGAACCCCTTGTAAGTCGTATTCTGGGGATAAAAGCACAGGTGCTCCTGTCTTACTTCCTGTTATTAGGACATCTGGCCTCTGATTGGATAACAGTTACATGACTCTGTTTACCTTGCAATGTTGATGTTTTATCTCCACAAATAATAATAATACGCCTGGAGGAGTTCTGCTGTGTGGTGGAGCTGGTAATGCTAACAGTTAGCTTCTAGTAGCCAAGACGTTGTCTGCTGTTTCCTGGGCCTAAACCAACAACAGCCTTCTCCGTTGCGAGTCAAGATGGGCGAGTCCATGAATGCAAAGTGACAGAGACATAGATCTGTCAGGGTTTTCAAATCCTAGAGTTTCATCCTCTGTTTTCTATCAGAAGCTGATGCAGGAGGTAGGCGTAGCAGACTATTTTCACGTTCAGCCTTCATGAAAAACTCAAGAGTGACTGATTATAATCAGAAATAATTATTTAAAGATGTTTGTCAGTGTTCCACACCTTTAAACTGTGAGGTGACATGTTTCTGAGAACAGGTGGATAAACGTTGAGCTTTTTTATTTTCTGTTACACTGACCATGAATCCGACAGCCGGAAAAGCAGTTTTGTTCACGTGGATTTGTGTTTGTGATCCAAGCAAACATGTGGCACACTTCTCCCACATTTTTATGTTCTCACAGCAGCAGAATAAAAACACACGCCTGTTTGTTCTGCCTCTAAATCATGTCGGGGGGAAGCAAAAGGTTGTTTGTAATTATGTAAAAAAAATGGTCACATATTTGACATTAAACCCCCAATTACATTTTTGTTGCAGGTTTCCAGGATGAGAAAAATAGCTGCAATGTTACTGGTGTTATCACTCCTAACGTGTGGAAACCCTCATGGGTTTTCTCCAACTGTCTTCATAATGGGGATTATAGCTGTAAGTATGTCCCATCTTGGAAATCACACACACACACCACACACACACACACACACACACACACACACACACACACACACACACACACACACCTGCTCCATCACCAGTGGCTTTAACCACTCTGATGGCGACATTATCTGCTGAGCAGTCCTGTGGGTGAGCTGGTCTTTCTAAAGCTTTGTCCCATCTGCCCTGTGATGCTCACCAGGATCCGATGAAAAAAAGGGTATTCAATCATGTGCTAATAAAATGTGTAATACAACATGTTGCGTTGCCACAACACCAAATATACTCACTTTAAAAACATGGAACTCTGCAGTGTTGTGGAAAGTTTTAACTCAAAACAATTAAGAACAACAAAAGTTCATCTTTGGTGACCTCAGCAGTCTCAGCAGAGCCAGAAGAGAAAAAGAAATTGTGATCTGAGATTTCAAACTCTGCACTTTTTCAGCCCTTTCGGGTTTGAGCTAAAAGCGCTACTGCCGGGTTTGCAAACTCAATTTCCCATGGAGCTCAATGAGTAGAGCCCAGCACTAAAGCTGCCAAGGTTAGGGATTTCATTTTCTGTGTAGCTCACTGTGCAGAGTGTATATCAGCACTGCCACTGTCAGGATATGAGTCTTAGTTCCCATCGGGGCCAGCAATACCCAAGATGTATGCACTCTGGCTCCAGTAAACCTCTTTAGATGGAAGGATCCACAAAGTGTCAGATGTTAAATATGCTCTGTGGAAACTGAATGATTGCATGGCCACAGATACTACCAGGAAATGTCACATCTGAATTTTAAAAGCATACAGCTAACTTCCTCACAAACCTCTTAAGGATGTTTGCAGACTCCTAAAGGTTAACCACATGGGTAAAGTGGTCTGGAAGATGGGCATTAATGTATTTAT